TCTCTGATGGAATTCAGATTTTTAAGAAATTTCCATTATAATGGGAACTTGTCAGTAAATAAGTAATGGCCAATAATTCATTTACCAGAGTTAATTATTAATAAATACAAATATTAGAGTCTTATTTGAGAGACATGTTAAAACACTCAGCATCATTTATCTTTAAACATTTGACAGGTTTTGATTAAACACTTGAAATACAAAAGTCTCTCCCAGCATCCCTAGCAAGTACTGGCAGGTGGGAAGGAAGATGACTTCGAATGGGGTTGCTGTCAAGGCCAGACTGAAGTAGTTGCATTTCTAAAGTTAAAACCCAAAGAACCATTATAAAGTTAAAGAATGTTAGGTTCTCTGTAGAGCCGAAATCCTCTCATTTAAATGCAATGTGTCAAAAATATTTAAAAGCATCACAGAGGAAAGAGAGGACCTGGGTTAAAAGAAGCCTAAATTTCTTGAGAGGGGCATGGTTTTTCACATCTGTAATAACCCATCACTTAGAACAATATCTGATGGAGAAGGTGCTCAATACTTAGTGAAAGACAAAAAGTCAGAAGTGTCTGTTCAAAGGAAAGCCCAGTCTTTAAAAAAACCTATGTTATTCAAAGAAAAAAAGGAAATATTTCAAGGGTCTATAGTCAAAAACTTAGAACAGGGCAAAGAATTTAATCCCTTTATGATCTTATAGCTCTGACGGAAAGCCACAGGTCATTATTTTGCACCCCACTACCTGTTACCAACACTATCAACACAACTTCTTAAGTAATTTGAGTGCACAGGAAAGCAGTAATCACATACATCCCATTTTAAGAAGTATACCACTCTGCAATTCCACTCTATTATGTAATGTGGTAGTTTTAATCATTAGGTTTAAATGGATTAGTTTCCTTGACAATCTTAAAATATGTATATTTGTATTTATATTTAGCTAGATGTGATGCAATTGAGGAGAATTCAAGTTATTAGTTGGGAACCATTATGGAAAATCTCTGGATCACTGGAGTTTACAAAAGCAGGATCCAAGCTGTTTGAGACTATGGGCCTAAGACACTTAGATTCAAACCTGTAGAAGGCTGAAAATTATCCAGAAAAGTAGGCAGGACATGTCACCAGAATGAAGGAAAGCTTCTTTTACACAGCAGGGATCAGGTTCAGCCTGACAAGTCAGTCACCCTTATACCAACAGTAGCTCCCAACTACTGGCATATGGGCTCAAGGGCTGGTAAAGAATGCATCCCAAACCCTCCTGTGAGGACACGTCAGACCACCGGCAACCAGGAGATGTTTTCACTGGTCTTCTCACTCTCCCGAATTTGGTTACTTCATTCAGGTATGCTAGGGCATCCACTTCTCTTTTGGGGGTCAAGGAGCAGCAAATAAGTGACACAACCTTTTAACACCTGAAGGTGTTGAACAGATCTTTCTTACTTTTCCAGCCCAATCTCAAGAGCTATTAGCAGTCTTTAAATGCCTCAAGTCTGAGAGAAAAAATAAGCAAATGATTTTAATGGACAAATTAAACAACTGTAATATATGGACAGCCTGGAAAAGTTCATTCTAACACCATGGTGATCACTGAGGATCACAGAGAGTGAAATTCTATTTGTTTATTTGTTCACATATGGAGTAAAGTGGTATATGGCTGACCGAACACACATAGGCTCCTCAGAAAGCTGTAAGAATGTTCCTGACCTACAGCTACAAATTCCAAAATTTATTTCTTACATCACTTATTTCTGGTGATGATCCTCTACCTACCACAACATTACACAGCCACTTAATGAGACCAAGTGTTGTCCATCACACACTATAATGGGAATAATCTGCTATTAATGAGAGCTGTTCTGCATGCATTAAACACCTTGTCTCATTTAGGATTCACAACTCTAGTAGATGGGTGCAGATTTACAGATATTAAATAACCTGCCCAAGGTCACACAACCAGGCTTCAGATCAATCTGTCTCTAAGTTCTTAATTACCCACTATGCACAGTAACACTTCAAATACATATATAAGAGAACATAGCACAAAACATTTAAATTAAAATGAAAACATGTTCACTGCATTAACGTTTAAAAAAAAAAAGAAAGAAAAACCCTACACACTCCAACAAGTTTTGGTACTCTTGCCAAAATAAAAATAAAAAATAAAAAAAAAGCAAATAGAATCCAACTAGTCTATACTTCCATTTATATTTAGAATATGAGCTGGGCATGAGTATGTAATGAATATATATGTGTGTCTCTCTGTGTGTATAACACCCACATTATTCAAAAGCTCCCAAAAATGTGAAAAGTTTGTTCCAATCCTTCTTTATTTTGTCTACTTTAAGAATCCTTTGCAATATGCTTATGTAAATACTGATTTTAGCTGCTGTTCTCATTTCTCAAATCTTCAGCTTATAAATGAATTGGAAAAGTAACAGACCTAAGCAGACATCTTTGGAACACAAAACCAAAGAGATATAAACAAATACAACTAAATCAAAAACAAAGGACTCTTCTTTAAATTCTCTAACATCACAACTGATAAATGGGAAGAACTGAAAGAAAAATATACTGGCTGTGTATAGTGTTGTACACAGGCACACGTGAGCTTGTGTGTGTGTGTGTGTGTGTGTGTGTGTGTGTGTGTGTATGTACGTGGGTGTCTATTTTATTAGCACACACAATGATCAGCATCTCACCCTAGTTCACTAAAAGGTCTTTAAGAGCATAAACTCTAAATGAAAGGAAACTGTGAAGTTAAAGTAACGTTGGGGCAAGGGAGATAATGTAAGAAAACAGTTCCAGGTCGCTAAACCCAGTAAGTGAGTGCCTTCAGTTTTCTTACAACAGAGTTCCTACTATGGTTCAATTGCATTAATAACGCAGTGACTCTGAAGGTGAAGTGTCTCCATCCACACTTCGGAGAGATGCTGAAAAGAAGTAAGGACAGAGCCCAAATATCACCATTCCACTTACCTGATGCTGAGCCTTCATTACAAACGTAAGTAAAGGCTAATATTGACATAACAGATCATAAAGCACAACAAAGAATATGTTGACACAAAACTCTTAAAACTTGTGAGTTTACTATTTCCACTTAGAAGAGCATGAAACTCCCCAATGCTGATGTTAGTACCTGAAATCAAGTGTTACATGTAATATCGCTGGCATGAAAATTGAAACAAAAGACACTTTTTGATGAGAATAATATCAATGGATTTTGCAATTCGATAACAGAATAAACCCATTATTGGAAACACATTCTAAGTAGAGCATTTTGGTCATAGTTTCAGAGCTGGCCATGCATCTGGTACGTATGTTTACCGTGTAAGCTAATAATACCACAGGTTTTTTTTATGTAAGCAAATTAATACTAAGAGCAATTTTACCAAAGGACAAACTTTTATACTCCTCCAACACTGTGTGAATATAAAAATCATTTTAGATTTGTACCTGCACTCTTTCCTCAAATAATGTATTACCAAAAATTAAAAAGAAACACTCCTGGAATTAGAGAGAAAAAAAGTGACAAAAAGCATAATAAAATTTTTGAGGTTTCTACCACTGACTTTCTTCTTTCAGGGTTATCATATTGACAAAAAAAAAAAAATACTAGAATGTTCAGTCTCGAAGTGATCAAGGGCTAAGTTGGTGGTTTTGGCCTTATTCTTCTGAAGAAAGCCAAGAGGGATAATTTAGCTTTTGGACAGAGAACAGACACTGGCAGTCTCCAGATTTTACTTCCAGCATCTCAACCCACATCCAGCCTGGTGTGAAGACATGGCAGATGGACTACTTCTGTTATTTCGACTGCTTCAGCATCCTGCATGTTTCTGTAAGCATGAATATTCAGCCACAATAAAGAGCAAGGATAAGCATGCTGACTGTATTAAGCAGGTACAAAAAAATCTTTATCCTTACCCTTTTTCTCCTCATTATCATAGATTAAGAAAAAAAAATCAACATTTAGAATATGCTACTTCTGCCAAGCTTGGAAAAGACTTATCATTCAACGAAATGATGCTGGTTTTCATATATTTAATGTAAATGTATGAAGAGAAATGTGTGGGCAGAAGAAAACCAGCGTAATTAGCATTTTAGAGGAAAGAAATTTAAAGGCAACTAAACTGAAACAGTAATTATTTTCCACTTTATTTTCATGATTTCATTATTTTCTCAGAAAAAGCTGAGCAGGCATTGAGTATCAGGGTTCATCATTCAGAACACAAATCAGATTCCTTTAAATACCACAAAAAACCTCCACATTAGCATGTTTTCCTGTTGTGTAAATAATGCCTATTTGTAACTCTTTTGTATTTAGATCTTGAAAAAGATTACTGAATCCAGAAAGGGTAATTTTGCTATCAATAAAAGAAATAAAGTGACAATTTCTCTATGAGAAAAATATCTATGAGATTATCCCTGAGGTAGGACACCATCCCTACCCCTCTCAAAGGGCAGAGAAATGTCTAGAAATAAAACAATACACTTGTATTTGCTAAAATGAGGAGTTCGTGATTGCTCAAAGGAAATCTAAAGGCCATGAACTCACACTGTAAGGGAAAACATCCATTAAAACACCACCGCTCATCAAAAAAATTATTTTAAAAAAAGGCAATTCATTGTATTATGCAGGGAAGTTAAGAGATCTTTAAAGTGAATAAAAACCTCAATGCATAATCTGAATTCCATCCTCCACATGACACTTGTCACTAAAAAAAAAAAAAAAAAAATACGTAGGAAAGGTGGCGTGAACCAATCAGGTCTCCTTTACGCTGCTGGAGAAGGAGCAAGTGCCCTGCGAACCACATCTCACACTGACTTAGGATCCCTAGGGCCCCACAGCTTATGTAGTTTAAAAATAAAATACTCCTAATGAAAGGATGGCTATCAGTCTGCTCTTTAGGACTGAGAGGGGATTTCTTGGATTTTTTTTCACATCCAAATGAGTGAACATTATAGAGGTAAATCAAGGCCAACGCAAGGCACACATGTGGAAGTTGAGATAAACTTACGAAGTAGCCTGTTCCCAAGCTGGAAGGAGCTGAACTCTGCAATAAAGCATAAAGACAAAGTGGAAAATCAGCAATGGTTTTTAACACGTTCCAATCCACACAGCTCATTACCAGCCCTTTGCGGGTTTTTCATCGCTACATCACATCACTAGTGTATGCTGCCCCTTGTCATCTGCTACTGAAACGAACACCGTGTTGGCTTAATTTTCCCCTTTACATCTCTCAACAACTCAGAGATGCTAACGTGCTATTTACTGAATTCCAAGCTTCTGCGGTGGACGTAATTGCCAATTTATTTGACAGGCAGCTGGGTAATGAATTAATGATGGCATTTCGCCCTGCACTGAGACTAAACAGACACGCATCAGCCTGCCTCTCTGACTTGCTGACATTCAAGGCCCTGGTCTCAAGCTACTCAGTTTTGTGGCCGCAAAGGGGCAGGCAGGAGGAAAAAGCCCAGACTGACTTGAAAATAAAAGCCCAGTGGGTTTGGATGACTTTTCCAGTGTATGACCTACTTGCCAGTTTATTCCCTAAAGGCACCAGTTAGTACACACAGAGCACTTTTCAAAAATGAGACATTTTGTAAACATAATTAGTAGAATGAAATGCAAAGAATGTGTGGGTAAAGGGAAGCAGTGAAAAGCACCATTTTTCCGAAGGTTTCAGTCACAAGAATTATCAATTTAGGCTTCCATAGTTCTGACACTCAGAAAACTAAAAAAATAATAATTCTGAAAGGTTTGCAGGGCATCACTTCTTTAGGCAAAGAGGTCAAAAAGAGAACTTAGTTTTGTTTTAAACTTGTCTGTGATCCATGCGTGTTTGTACTTTTTTTTTTTTCCTCAAAACCTCTCATTACAAATGTTTTAATTTTCAGTCTCCTTTTTGTGAAAGAGAAAGACCCCAAGTAAGCTTGAAACAAAAAGAATGCTAGGGCAGGGGCAGTCTTCTGGTCTCAGCTTGGTGTCCTTGCACCAGCAAGGCCTTTTCTCTGACTAGCATGGACCAGGTGTTACACCTTCCCTGGGGTGGGCTGACTTCCACCCCCAAGCAGTGGTTACTCAGTTCACCTCTAGCTCTTCCACCCACACGTCCTGTCCCTGCTTTGCAACTACAGGTAGCAGAGACCATCGGGTTAAGTCATCGCTGCTTCCCCAGTGCTCAGCACAATGCTTTGCACACAGGATGCCTGTAACAAGTATTTGTTGAATTAATGTATAAATACATGAGAGTTCGGATTGCATAGGGGAAAAAAAAGATTAGGTGAATTTAGCATCTCTAAAAATACAGTAGATGTGAATCTTCTCGATTTTAAACTGTTTTCTGAGAAGGAAAAACAGTGCTCTATGCATCAACAGCATCCACATCAAACAAGAATTGTATGCTCCAGGGCATTCCTAAATGCACTTCCCAAAGCAAAACTTTCTTCACCTAGGTTTTTCAGACAGGCTCAGGAGAATAAAGGACAATCAATGTGTGATCTCGCACACTGGACTTGGTTTAAAAAAATCTTGCTGCATTCTTGATCCCATAAATGGTATGTAGGGAGATCCACAGTAGCCGTGGAGACAGCTTCTCATCGCAGTGATTAGCGATGTGACAGCATCACCTGTTTTCGGTACCCATAGCCCTCCATGAACAGAGGAAGGCAAAAGCCAACTTAGGTCTCCACCACCCTGGAGTCATGCCCCTGGGAGGTAAACTCATTTTAGGATGAACTACTCAGAAAGAACATGGCACTTATTTATTTCAGGTTTTTTTTTTTCCTCCTTCCTGCAAATGTACTTTATCCAGAAGCAGAAGTACCCCTCCAAACACACCTCCCCAGCCCCACATACGTATCATCTTACTGTATACCAAAGGAAATTACATCCTTCAGGTCTTGGAAAGCTCTGTTATACTCATTTTGCATATATATTGTACATTACTCAGGGAGCTGGGTGAAGAGGACTTTGTTGTGCATATTTGTTCTGGCTATTGTTTATGCAGGTCTGACTGAATGAGGGAACAGTGGGTATCATTTCAATTTCTGATGTCAACATCAAATTACTTATTTAATTTCATGCCTGGCGAAGCATTGTATAGCTACACGCAGAATCATTTCACTTCATTTGTTATGCTGTGTTTTCGTGGCGATTGGCTTGCCTTCCAACTGACAGCTTTAATTACGACATGAATTTGATTGCACTGCCGAGGAATTAACATAATGCAACAAAGCATTTAAGCACCCTGCCTTATAACACCCCCGCCCCACGCACACACACAAACACAGACACATGAAAGTACACAGATAATATATCCTCACATACATTAGAAGTCCATTACAGTTTTCAGAATTTGCTAGAAAGCATAGAGAACCTTATGGTCAGAGTCTACCCACATTTGTCAACCCACTGTACTCACTTCTTCTAAAGAGGAAAAAGTTGGGGGCATTAACCTGTGATTTTTGGACCTGGCAAAAAAACTCTGTTAAAATTCCTCCTAATCGACTCTGCCAAACATCCCTTCTTATTCCTTCTCCACCATGTTTTTCTTGGCTAATTGCCAGCTCCCATCAATCATCACTGGAAAATTTGAACAGAAATAACATCTCTAAAAGAGGTACCTCCTCGTCCATTTCTTCAAACTCAAGAATGTGGCTCTCGCCTTGTATTCACTGGGACACTATCCCTGAGCACCGAGACCTCCACCATCAGATAGAGGTAACAGAAGTTCTGAGACTAGTCACAAGGCAGGAGTCAGGGTTTTACTGATAGCTCCTGACACACACATCACATCCCTTAGGCCTTGCTAAGGAGTCTCGATCATGAATGCCTAATCTAAGTTTGTATCTAAATATAGATGCATATATTCGATAGCATTAATCTTTCTTTCAAGTCAGAAATTCCATGAATACCATAGGCAAAAATAGATTATGCTGTAAAAATTAATGTCTAGAAGTAGCTTTTCTGTTGTTTGAAATGTGTTACATTAGCTATTAAGTTACAGACGTGCATTTAGGGATTGGCACTGATTTCTCACATAGGAAAGAGACAGACACCAAGAGGTAAAAGGCCTAGGAAAGCAAAGAGGTGGTGATGCCCTGACCTCTGAACCATTTGATGGAATCAACTTTCATTTCAACTTTCTGTGTTGCCCCCGGTCAATATCTAATGAGGAGGGGTCCTCCTGCTTTCTTTCTTCTTTTTTTTTTCTTTTTTTGCTGTAGAAAGAAGGCAGACTGTCCAAACTATATGGCAGAAATTGCCACAGAATCTAGAAAAGATGAGGAGTTAAAATGAGGCTTGAAAAGTAGGCATGTTTTAAAAAAAGAATGCAACAAACAGAAGTGTCCTTGAATTCAAAAGCATTTGAAATAATACCATACACCCATGTTTAGGCAAATACTTCTGTTGAATAATGAAAAAGGTTTCATTCTTATTTTTTCAAATGGCAGAGATGCAAATTCATTCATATTTTCAATGCACAAGGTAGAAACGAGCAGTAGAAAGAGATTGAGAAAACAGAGCAAGAGAAAGTGTTTAGCAGTGAGAAGACGAGGATATGAGGAAAAGCCAGCCTGCTGGCTATCTGATATGCGATTTCAGGGCTCATTATAAGCCATCTCCTATTTCACATGGTCTTTTCATTCTGCTGAGTTCTCTCTCTCCTTTTTTTTTTTTTTTTTTTTTTTAGGTTTGACCACTGTTCCAACAGTCTCTGCAAATTACCCACCTCGATCTCATTATGTTGCAAAGGAGAGCTTTCTTACACACTCTGCCTCAATTGCAAAGCTACATGGGCTGCAGGAATAGTAATGGGATGCACAGTTGAAAGACATTTTCCAGGAGGTAGAACATTGCTGCTGACATTCAAGTGTGCAAGTGGATATTCATTAAACACTCATTGACTCTTCCTCACTGCTCCCTACCTGACTTTCTTTACATCGCTGTCACTAAGCTATCATTGATGCTACTCATTAAACTTGTGAAGTTAACATATCTGTTTTAACAGCTTACCTACAACAAGGGATTTCAAAATTGATTATCCATCTAAAATAGATGTGCTCCATTCATTAGACATCTACATAGAGAGGCCATGGCTATTATTACAGCTCTTTGAGCACGGGATGGATGTGTACTCCACCCCCAAGAGGAGGATATATGCTCTGACCCCAGGGCTAATTTAATAGAATATTTAAAAATTCTTCCACAACACCAATTGTGTTTGACATCCTTGCCTACCCACCTTCCTGTTAGGCTTTTCTCTCTTGGGAGTAAAAAGCAGAGGATCATGCCAAGAATCACATGGCCAAGTACATTTCTAGTAAAGGTCACAAAGCAAGCTCATTCATGGATTTTCTGTACCATTTTAAAAAACAATGACAATTAAAAAAAATTGAAATCTTAATCCTAGGAAATGGGCCTTGGAGATAGGATTACTTAGAGCTAGTGAAGACACAAAATATATTTGAATGGGAATTACTACTAGGGGGATTCGAGTAAAAACAGGCCAACAATTAAAAACAGAAATACCATATGATCTATTCCACTACTGTATTTACCCAAAGAGAATGAAAACACTAATTTGAAAAGATATCTACACCCCCGTTTTTATTGCAGCATTATTTATAATAGCCAAGATATGGGAGCAACCCAAGTCCCTCCACAAGATGAATGGATAAAGAAAATGTGCTGTATTTTCAATGGAATATTATTCTGCCATAAAAAAGAATGAGAGATCTCGCCATTTGTGGCAACATGGATAAGCCTAGAAGGTATTATGCTAAATGAAGTAAGTCCGAGAAAGACAAATACCATATGATTTCAGTTATGTGAAATCTAAAACAAAACAAAACAAAACAAATGAGCAAACAAACAAGAAAACAGACTCTTAAATACAGAGAACAAACTGGTGGTTGTCAGAGGAAAGGTGGGTGGGAGTAGAACAGATAAAGGGGATGAAGACGTACAAACTTCTAGTTATTAAATAAGTAAGTCGTGGAGGTGAAAAGTACGGCACAGGGAATAGAGTCAGTAATACTATAATAATGC